CCCCCGCCTCCAGGTTGGTCCTCCATCAAACACCATATCTGTCAATGGAAGAGCCAGGCTTACTCATTTGCATTCCACAGAGGCAAAAGCTAATCACTAGATATTATACCAAATATTTTGCACTTTACTACTGCTTCACAGGCCAACTTAATACTAACTACAATTTTTGAAAGTGTAAATGCAAGTATATGTTAATATATTTTTGTCAATTGTTGTAGGAATTTCAAGCTGTGTCCTTTTATGCCTTGGAAAGATTATTAGAATATGTAAATTATTATAATATTTTGCCTTTTTCTCTTTATACAGCTGACTATGCTGCTAAAAAGGTTTAAGAGAAGGTGCAGATGAGCTTTGCTTATATTAAAATGAGAATCAAAAATTCTTGATTTTAGCCTTCAAGACTGAACAATATGTAGCACTGTGCTGAAATTAGAGATTTAAAGCAATCTAAGAATTTTAAATCATTAATTTTCAGTTGTGTATTACTTTAACAAACAGATTGTATGAATTTAAATCTACCACATGCTGCCTCCATATTACTTTGTTAAATTAAATTTATAATTAGTTGAAAATCTTAATTATATGCAATGCTTTATTTTGGTTTAAAAAATAGATTATTTTGTTCCTTCAGCTGAGAGTAGTTGGTATAAGTGTGTTTGATTTTTTTTTTTTTAATCTCCTTTAATTTTTTTCCTGGTAGCACACAAATAAAAAATCAGGATATAATTTATTGGGAATTTTTGTACTACTTAAAAAGTTTTCTTAACAGTAGCACTACCTGATGTTTCTCATCTACTCTTTGAGTACCTGTATATAGTATTTACCTAGCACTCAGATAAGCAATACTTTTTGTGAACTAGATATACTGTAAAGTAGTCATCAGCATATGGTCACTTACTGATAAAATGCAAATTCCAGTTTTGATACTTAATGAAACAGAAGAAATTTTTTTTCAGTGGAAGTACAACTAAAGAATGAACTGCTTTGGACTTACTCATGTAAAATATTTTAATCTTAAAACAGCACAATAACACATTTACAAAGCATTCTTGTGTCTGGGAGTGTCTATTTATAGATTAAGCATTAAATACCAAAATGGGAATATATATTAAAAGAAAATCTTTCATGTTATATTTTATCTATTTTGCATTTCTTGTCAAGGTTATACATTTTTGGGGAGAGGAGTGAAAATACGATCACACACGATGAAATAGCTAGATTATGGATGCATGCAGCAAGTGCTGGAGTATTTGCCATATTAAAGTATTTTCTTGCTGGACTTGATTTAAATAAAAGTAATTGTATTTAGTTTCTATTCATTAACAATATATTTATTTTGAACTTTAGAGACATTCTGTAACTAAGTTTCAGAAACTGATCTATCTGTGCATTTCAAAGGGTTACTAATGGTTTGCTGCCAGGTTTTTGTGCAATAATCTCAGAGGTCTCATTACTTTTCTAGTACAGAGCCAATTGTTGATTACAAGTAACAGTGTTAACTTAATGCTGAAACCCTTCACAGAACATTTTAGTAAATAAAAATTCATAGAGCGAGCGGATGAACATTTGTTCACTGCTGTTTTCTCCTGTTTTCTCTCCTATATCTTAGTCCTCTGTCAATGTGTATTACCACTTCCTTTTCCTTGATCTTGCCTCCAATCAGCAGCTAATTCCAAGGATGGGGGGCACCCACATGGTAGTTCAAAAGATCTGTTTCAGGTCACTTGAAAATGGTGAGATAGAAGAGGTAGCGGTTTTTCTAGTTTCTAACTGGGGCTTACATTCTAGATTTCACTGTGTCTTGAGGGACAGAGTTGAAAATTGTAACTCACTCCCAGGATTCCTAGTGTCTATGTTCTGTTCATTGTGATATTTGAAGTCCGTGTTTCAAGCATTCTTGTACAACATGCTGATCTGTAACTGCCACAGAGAGGTTGCACCCTGAAAGGAATCTCCTTGTTTGTACTTTGGGTGGGAGGGGGTTACATGTTTTTTTTCAGACCTTGGTATTCTCTGCCAAAGTGACTAAAGTTATTTCATAAGACTAATTTAATCTCCATCTGTGGTACTACAAGTCTATATGACATTTCACTGTTTCAACCATATCAGTGGAGCCCAATTATTCTGGTTTGGGGGAAAGTTCAAATAACCGGCTTTATTGTTGTTTTCTTTAGTTTTGACTACAAAACTGTACTACTGTATGTTCCTTAGTCCTGTATGTTGAAAGTACATTGCCCTTTATGTGAACTCCTGAAGGCAAATATCATCTTATGTAACAGAGATTAAAAGTAAGGAGACCTTGCTTGAATTTTAGGGTTTCTTGTCTGCATAACTGAACTTGCTTGATAATTACCTGAAATGTCTACACATGCTATAGTACTGTGAAACTCTTCAATGAGATTTTCTGTTACTAGCTGGCAATATTGTTTAGCAAAACTTTCTCTTTCCCCCTTCTTCCAACATATATATGTAAGACATTTAAAAATCTTGCTATTGTATATCTGCAGACTCATTTTTTCTAATACTCTTTTATTAAATTCTACCAGAAAAACCCTTATTGATGAACTTGACATGTTCATTCATTGTTCAAATAAGAAAACATTTCTGCTCAAGTAACAAGTAAGTGTTTCTAGCAACTGCAAGCCCAAGTTAGACAGCAGTAAATTTTTGTTGTGGATGCCTTACATGCAGGGAAAACAGACTTTTTTTTGGTCCCCAGAATACTTAGTTTGGGCAACCTGTATCACAGGTATTTTCCAACAGAAGGCAACTAGTTATGCCATACTACTTACAATCCCCTTGCGGCTTTTGAATGGCAGTCAAAACGTTTAGGGAAGGAAAGTCAGGATACTGCAGGAAATGAAATGTCAGTGTAATTGTGCAGACAAAATAGCAGACCCCAATAAAGGTGTGCTATGACTTACTGTCATGAGTTCTTTGAAGAAGCAGCAGATACCCATGTAACATAGTGAGATCTTGATCTAGGTCAGACTCCAGGATTTTATAAGTAAAAAAGGGCTAGAAGAAAAAAGAGCAATAGTAAAAATTATCTCATTAGTTACTATAGATGATATCACTTTTATTTATTTTACAGAAGAATAAAATTAAGACTGCAAATGTAACCGGAGAAGGCAACAGTTTTTCTGGGAGAGCATCACCAGATAATATTGGAAATATTCTGGTGAATAGAGGTTTTAAGGTCAAGGCAAGAACACTCATACTTGCAACTGAAAGATGTTAAACCACTGGATGTCTCAATTTTTGGGACATAAATTTAGTAATCAGTGCCCTAGTTTTTCCCAGCTACTTGTGATTTGTGCCATAGCGTATTGCAGCATACAACATGAAGATCTCTAAGGAAGACATGAAAATGACACAGATATGGAACAAGAGGCATGTGATCACACATGCTAGGTAAAGGATGAGAATATAACATGAGAGCAGCTAATGCTTTTAATTTTAAGTTTGTACAAGCACCTGTTACCAGGTAAAGCAAACATTTTCAGTTGGAGCTGCTTAGAATCCTATTTTAATACACAGTTGCTGAGAAGGTTGAAAGAATTGTGTTAAATAGAAACAAGGAAAAGATGCTGTTGAGCAGTAAGTAGGGTGTACATCCTTGAATGTTTGGCCGGAGTGCATTTATCAGGTGTTGGACACCTAATGAGTTGGTAGCAAAGCAAATAGAGCTCTTTGCAGAAGGGAAAATGTGTCTTAATTTAATTGTCTATGTCCATGTTAACAGAATGTGTGGCTGAAGTGTCAAAATAGTGTGTTTGGACCATAGCTACCATCTTCACAGGCACAACTACTCTTTCTGGGTGCTGTGACTGGTCTGAGGTTCTGAAGCTGTGATTTTCTGTTAGTGCTTGGCTGCTGACTGGATAGCGAAATCTGAAACATCACTTGCTATAGATGGATTTCCTATGAAGCCTATTTCAATTACAAAGCAAAGCTGTAGCACTATCAATGGAAATGCTTCACAGCTTTTAATTGAAAAGGATGCTTTCTATGTGGATTATTTTATAAAATTCAAATGAAAATCACAGATAAGGTGCATTTTTTTTTCTTTAAAATTTCGGGTTAGGTAGGTTTGTGAGAGGGAAGGTGTCCTTGTTAAAATGACATAAAATTTTGTATCATACATAAAGTTGCATTATTTTTTGTCAGCTGTTCCTGCTTATTAATACAAGCATGTAACACCTCAACATTTTTGGTGTGTATATGTCTTCAGGGAGCAGATTTGGAAGAGAGGTATAGTTTTTCTCTTTTTAGGTGTATTAAACCTCACATTCTCGTAACAGTACAACAGCTAGTGTTTAAGTGAAAGAGTAGATGAACACTTCCCTCTCCCCTCCCTCCATCACCCTGGAAAGGCCACTAAAACTGTTAATGGACTTAGTTACTCCTAAATTATTCAAGACACTTCAGAGAATAAAATTAATAGGAGGGAGGGGAAGGAGAGCAGATGAGGTAGAGAAAAAGGAGTTCTGCTTTTCTTGATCTGGAGAATCACCACTTCTGTGAAGACAGGCAGAAGTATATTTCTGCTCCTCCCCTGTTTAATGCATGAAGGAGCAATCTTCTACAGGTAAATTATCAGTTGAGGAATGACTTCACTTGCTTCCCTGGGGAAGATGTTGAATGAATTTGGTATTCTTCATCAGTGTCTTACAATAGGAAATGCTGATTCTCCCCTACCTTTCATATTTTAAGTTTTCTGTTTTGCCTTCAGGGCTGTACAAATATTGTACCATTTTGGAACAGGTAGGTACAAGCCAGAAACTAAAAGCTTAACTCTGAAAGCCTGATAACTTGTGATCCCCATTCATGTAATCAGTACAATGGTGAAAAATGCAATCCTGCTCCGGACAGGCATTGTTCAGCATTTGCTAATGTAGCAATGAAAGAAAATTCTCGTAGCGTTGGGAAAGGGAGAAACAACTGTATCATCTGAAAAGGACACTAAAAGTATTAGGAAATTTCAACTACATCTATTGGTAATTGTTACTCAGATTGATTGTGCATGTATAACTTGGGGCCTGGAAATAACAAGGGATGTATCATCTCCAACAGAATTAGATACAACTCCAGTGCCAAAAATAATCCAAAAGGATTGGATTTGGATGTAGGTTGCTAATTCCTCTGTGAACTTCTCAAAATTTGAGAATGGTCTTGTGCCAATAACATACTACAGCCAATGTGATTATATGCAAATACCAGTGACATTTACTAGTTACCAGTTTGTGATTGTATAATGAGTGTATTTTTAGTAGCCGTTTTGTTGATACCAGCTGCTGCATGTGAACAACAACGGTCTTCTGTTTCAACAAATGATCTGCTTGGTGATTTCTAAAGGCACTAGTTTCCATGAGTGCATGGGCATTCCCAAACAATGCTTAAAACAGGAGTTTCGGGGTAGGGTGGGAAGCTAATTCTTAGGTTCCTCCTTAGTCATTTGAATACTCCTCAGAGCAACTGGTAAAATAGATGAGGCTGAAGAACACTTATACAATCAGAGTGGTAGACTAGGCATTTCTGAAGAATACACTCTATTCTTGTCCTATATGAAATTGTTTCGTTATTCTTACTA